TTATATTTCTAAAAATAAAGATATAGATCTATTTCTTTAATATAATAAACTCGAGATTTAATTAATTAATAATCTTATCGATAAGAAATATAAATTACTTACTACTCTTAATAATGCTAATTACGAAATATAATCTCTAGAAGTTAATATATATTTAAGCTTCTAATACTATTTCCTTTAATCTAAAATCCTTATTAATCTATTAAATTATTTTTATAAAATCATATATATTATATTAAAATTCTTTTAATAATTTTATTTTTTCTATATCTCTTATATAGAGATATAGATTTTTTAGACGATACGCTTTAATATAGCTTAATTATTAATATATTAATTAAAAATAATTAACTTATTCTTATTTTATAAATATAAATATACTTTTAATAAGAGATCTAGACTTTTTAGAAGCGAATACTCTATTAAATATCGATTTAATTAATTAATATAGGCTATTCCTCACATAGCCTCTTATTATTATCTTATCTATAAATATATTAATAATTCTAATATATAGACTTTTAAATTATATCTTAAAATTCTTTTAATTTAATATTATAATAAATAGTATATTATTATCTATTTCTAGAATATATAGAATACTCTCTATAATCTATATATAATTATCTATATAAATTTAAATAATTTCTTTATCTCTTATTAATAACTTACTTTAATTATTAAATTTTATCTTCTTTTAATAAGACTGTAAATTAATAAATAATTCTTTATTTAATATTATATAGCGAGTCGCTTCGAAGTCTATTAGCTAGCTACTATCTTCTAAAAAATTTATTATTATAAAAGAATTCTTTATTAATAATATACTATTTATAAACTCTAGCTTTTTCTTAGCTATTTATAAATCTTTCTTTTAATTATATATATCGCTTATATTACTAATATTACTATTATTATCTAATTTATCTACTATTATAATAATACGATCTAAGTATTCTTATCTACTATCTTTAAATATCTTTAAATTCTTTAATCGATTCTTTAATTTATAATTTTATCTATCTAAATTCTTCGCCTTATAATTCTTATTCTTTTTATTCTTCTTATTTAAATACTCTCTCTTATAATATTCGATTTTCTTATAGCTATAGTATTCTATCTTATTTATATCTTTAAGAGGTTTTTAACTTAGTTAGTTCTTTCGTCTATTATATATAAATAAATCTTTATTCTTAATCTATCTATCTTACTCTATAATTTATAAATATTTTATAACTATTTTAATAGTAAGATTATTATTAATCTCTAAATTATATTTAATTATATCGAACTTACTTCTCTAATAAGTATTTATAATTATTATTACTATAGTAAGATCGTATAATATATAAACTAAATTTAAATTTATAACTTTATTCTATAGATTTTATAAATTTACTATTATTTAATCGATCTTTTAATCTATTAATTTAATATATTTAAGAAATTTCTATAATATAATAGAAAGATGTTCTTTATTACTTATTTTATAAATTTAATAAAGCTTATTTTATATAGATTTAAAAGTAATAAAATAGACGATATAATTTTTCTAATTTTAATTAACGTTATCTCTAATTAGTATAGCGATCTATTTATTTAAAATAATCTATTATTTAGCTAACTCTCTACTAAATTATATAGATATTAATAATTTCTCTAATACTATTTTAAAGATATCTTATTTTTTAAGAAATTATCGATAATTCTAGATCTATAAATAGTAGTTTAAATTCTTTAGAACTTTCATTTTAACGTATAATTTACTAATAAGTCTCTTATCTAATTTCTTTAATAAATCGACTATTAGCAAATTATTTAAATCGAATAGAAGATTCTTCTCCCCCTCTTCTTTCTTCTTTCTCTTTTCTTTTAAATAAAAGAATTCTTTAATTAATAACGCTATCTATCTAGCGAATAAATAATCTTATTTCTTAATCTACTATAACTCTATTCTCGAGTATTCTTTAATAAGATTTTTAAAATAATTATATTCTCTAATATTTAGAGAGATTATAGCGATAATAGATAAATATAATAAAAAATTAAAACCTCGATTAATAACTAATTAGGCTTATAATCTATTAATAATATAATAGATTATATCTAATATAATTAAGATTAGAGCTATATATAAATATTATATAAATAGATTATATATATAAATAGATAGAATATAAGAAAAGAACTTTATATAAGTAGATATAGGTCTAATATAAATATAAAAAGTCGCTTACTAAATTATTAGAGATTCATTCTTTTAAGTTATTTAATTTCGGCTTATAGTCCATAATAAATCGAATTACTTCGAGGATTATATCTTAGCCTTTCAGGCGTGTTAGTTCCACATATACGCTAAGTAAACTAATTACCCTAGCATACCATAGTTATGACTATATAGCTATTATCCATAACTATATGGCTATTGCCAATGGCTATGTTACCCATGGCTATGTTTGCCTATGGCTATATGGCTGTAGCCCCCAGCCACATTATAGCTAATGGCCATAAGCCGTGGCTAATGGCCATAAGCCGTCAAAACCAACACTTGACTGCCTAGATAGTAGCGCGCCAAGTGGTCTTGGCATAATACGCGCAGACTTTCCAAGCTCACAGAGCTCCCATACAACAATATACTCTGCCTTTTGCCTTCTCACACTCATACATACCAGAAGTCTCCGTTTGGTAGATCATCCATCTCAAACCTGGTAAATTGCATCCAACCCTCCGTCACAATAGCCAGGTCCTTAAGATGAACCACCTTCCCCAGGCATGGGGCCGTGTAAGTCGATAGCTTGCTGATCCTGCCACGAGCTATAGCTGATACATAGTCCATGTTGCAGCCACGCGATGATGTATATGGACCATACGATGCTTCATATCTCCAATCTAGTCACCCTCAGACCCACACTCAGCAGCCCATAGTCACAGGAACATCTGTTCTCGCGGTCAAGTTTAAGGATGGGGTCGTCATCGCTGCAGATAACTTAGGTAGCACCGCTTCCTCTGGCAAAACACCATGATCCGGCTAACGCCTCTTTCTTCTCTCACAGCTTCCTACGGTTCTCTCGCCCGTTTTACAGACGTAAAACGCCTCCGGCCCTTCAACTCCCGCGCAATTGTCGGCATCGGTGGCGACGTCTCAGATATGCAATACCTCGACCGGCTCCTCAACTCCCTCGACGTCACCGAGAATTACTCTTCAGAAGGGCATGGCCTTAACGCCAGAAATCTACACACCTACCTCTCAAAAGTCATGTACAAGCGCCGCTCCGACGTCAACCCACTGTGGAATCAGATGCTGGTAGCCGGACTCGATGGGGATGATAAGCCATTTCTGAGCAGCGTAGATCTATTGGGCACAACATTCAGTAGCCCTACCCTGGCAACAGGATTCGGAGCACATTTGGCACAGCCATTGTTGAGAAAAGTGGCGGATGACGAGAGCCAGGTCTCGGACGTGACAAGGGAGAAGGCTGTAGATGCGGTGAAAGAGTGTATGAAGGTGCTATTCTACAGAGATGCAAGGAGTCTGGATAAGTACTCGATCGCAGTGGTCACGAAGGAGGGCGGTGTGGAGTTGAAGGAAGATGAACAGCTGGAGAACCAGAGTTGGGCGTTTGCCGAGACCATCCGTGGTTATGGCCGAACGCAGGAAGTTTGAATGACGATTTGACTAGCACTGATCGATAGAGCGGCATGATATCCTTTGCTCGCCCCCAGCTTCACTTGTATCATCGCACCGCTCCCCCGCCATGAAATGCCTCCGAACGCCGTCGTGCAAATTGCCAATTGAGAGATCAAAACTCAAGGACTTCCTCCAGCAAGTCCATCCCCAAGCCGCTATTACCCTCATCGAAAACCGACCACTCCTCTGCCGGATAGTCATCCACTCGATCTTGCACAACAGGCGCAAATTCTGACTCTCGGTTTTCCTTGTCACTGTCCTCGTCTGCAAACGGATCATCCTGCTCAACTTCTCCCGTTGGTCTCTCTTCTTGCCCTCCCTCCTCCGCTTGTTGCTCGTCTAGTGCTTCATCCGCACTTTCTTCGCTCAAGTCCTGTTGGCCTGCTCCAGCTGCGTCTGCGCAGTCTCCTTCCGCTTCGACCTCGACCTTTTTGCCTGGCCGGTCGTTTGACACGCACCCACTTAAAACTTGGTCATCCCCGCCAATTTCCAGTGCAGACTGAGTCGTGTCCTCCACTGCCTTCGATGTCCTCTTCTTAGCCGCCCCACGCAAGGCCTTCTTCTCCGCGCTCTTTCCTTCCCTCTCCGCTCGTTTTAGCCCCCTCTTCTCTCTTATCCTCCTCTCCAATCCAGGCTCGTTGTTCCAAACATTTCCATACCGCTTCCTCCTCCCGTCCTTCTCGCTATTCTGAGGCCATTGCGCATAGAGCGTCGATCCTTCCCCAACTTTGCAGCTGGAGAGTACTGAATCCATCGCTAAAAGTTTGTTCCGATACCTCAATCTGATGCCACAGAACGGAAGGTCACTCCGCAGGATACGAACTCCACTGGCCCGCCAAATGGACTCAAGACGGGCATCGACTGTCGCTTTGACTGCTGCGACCGTGGTAGTGTCGAGATCGAGGTCCAGAGTTACGGTGTCCCCTGCTGGTAATTGGACGACTGAGGTGCGTTAGTGCTCTATCTTCGGGGGAAATAAAAGACGGGCGTCGACTGCGGAGCGGGTGACGTACAGAACTGGGTCATACTTGGAGGGACAGCTTGTACCGAAGCGCAATGGAGATTATCAGACGGCAGTCAAAATGTGGCCAGGTAGACTTTTGGAGAGCTTTGCTGTATGGAAGTATGGAGCAAGAAAAGAACATTGAAAAGCCGATTCTAAGAGGCATTCAATGAGCTATGCTCGGGCAGGCGTTGTGTTGAAGGGATGCACTTCTACGTGTGTCGAGGTGGTGTGTGTTGAGCTGCGTGGCAGTAGGACAGACCTAAAATCTACGATGTTTCTGTACGATGCAGACAAGACTCAGCAACTTTACAGTTTTGGCCTGCTTTTGATATGTTCGATTTTGTTCACGCAAGTCCCAATGCCTTCCAGGCTGACTTCAACAACATCCCCGTCCTTAAGCCACAACTGCGGCTCCCTGCCCATGCCTACGCCTTGAGGTCTAATCACCAAATCAGCTATTTTCGAAGTCCAAACAGGCACGAGCACTTACGTTCCAGTGAAAATCAAATCCCCAGGAAGAAGAGTCGTCCCTTGACTTAAGAAGCTAATCGTCTTCGCCACCCCAAAAATCATATCCTTGGTGCTGCTGTCCTGGACGGTCTTGCCATTAACCTTTGTCGAAATCCGGAGGGCTTGAGGATCTTTGATCAAAGCACTCGACACAATGCCTGGCCCATACGGAGCCCATCCATCGAAGCCTTTGCCCAATGCCCACTGGCCGCCTCCTCTTTTCAGTTGCCATTCGCGATGTGATACATCGTCACCGACTGCATATCCCATGACATAGTCAAGAGCTTTAGATTCCGGGACTTCCCTCGCCTCTTTGCCAATGACGGCGACGAGCTCGCATTCGTAATCTAACCCGTCCACTTCTTGGGCCATGGTAGGGATAGGAACATTATCGAAGGGCCCGCCGAGCGAAGTAATTGGTTTGTAGAATAGCACGGGGTACTTCGGCAGCGGCATGCTTGATTCTTTGGCGTGTTGCTCGTAATTGAGGCCGAGGCAGCGGACGGTTCTGACGTCTTCGCTGGCAAGGGGAGCAAGGAGAAGGCGTACATCCTGATCGGATTTCAGCGAGTGGGATGATACGACCGTGGGAGGGAAGCACGTACGGCGATTTGCTCCGTCACATCGTGTTTTCCGAACACGTCTCCCTTGATCACGCGAGCTTGCTTCGTTTTGCCTAAATCGCTGACGCCCTGTGGTAAGATAGCATCCCCATAGTATGTTCTGCCGTCCTTGGCGAGGAATCGGACCAGACGTGAGAAAGGAGGCATAGCACGAATTAGATGACTCAAAGCAGTCCAGCGACAGAACGGAGCGTTTCTAAAACTCCAATTGGAGCTCAAGTGGCAGATTGTAGAAGATTAATGTGCATTGACCGTGCCGCTCGTGTCTGCCATTGCATCATTTTGGAGCGGGCCTTGTAAGATTAAACGCCGTTCTTTGAGTAATCCCCGGCAGCGGCATTCTGTTGCGGCTTCTTGCCGTGGTAAAACTCTCCCCCCCTGAGCACTCGTTATCCGTGATATGAGGCTCTCGGGGTTGCAGAGAGGGGTTTTGTCACTCTACCGCCAGTGCTGTACGTTATAATTTCCGAGGCAATTCTTCCCCATAGTCGTCATACATGTCTCTAGTTCTCTGTTCCTGAGACGTGTCTCGCGACACCAAATTCCTCCCAAAAGAGTAATGCTGACTGCCGAAATCATCAAGTGAGAGAGATAGAGAAGAAGCCAGCGGTTCGTTAATTACCTTATAAAGTCTGTCATCAAAACGAAGAACATATCTAACCCGTCTTAGGACGTGAGAGAAAACTTCAAGGGCTTTGCAAGGTAGGTGCCATTTCAGAAATCATCTGACCAGCTCGGAATTACAAGTTAACATCATCATAGGACCGAGTTCGAAAGGAGCATTGGGCTGGACAAGAAAGACTTCGCTGCAATTGAGTATCTCCTACGAAAAGGCCAGAGGCAGCTGGAAATCTATTCCTCTCCTGGAATCAGGAATATAATAAGATGATGCCAATCAGGTTGGTCACAAGTTGCAACTTCGGATATTTCTGTGCTAAGATTACGGTATCTCAGCTCTTGCATTCATAATCATCGTATCAGGTGGAAATGGCAGTCATAAGATATAGCACCCCAAGTATCCCTACAGCGCCACCAACGCCATCGCTAAAATTCAAGAAGCTCAGACGGCATTCAGAGCTCTCCTCCCTCACCATGAGGATACTCTCGATACCGATCACTGGGATCTCCGCCAGGTATGCAAAGCCCGAGCCTCCAGAAGTAGTCTCGATGAGCAAAGAACAATTGCCATATGCGAAAGCGTGGCGGTACTGTTAAAAGACCCTTCGTGTCCTTCCACCAGTCCTTGAACCCTTCTATATCGGCGCCTTGTTCAATGCTTGGGATATTCGGACCGCTCTGACCTTCGTCGTGGACTTCCGCACCGGCTATACAATTTGGATCTTCGTCACCCTCACAGTATCTCAGGTCCTTGGCCTCCGGAGATAGCTCCGGCTTCGAAATGTAGACTTCTCCAGCGTGCATTTGATAGCCCCACTCTGTTAAAGGAAGCAACGGCACCGGGTCATCACAATGTGTTACTCGTCTGTACCTGCCAGTGATGTCTGTGTGACCATGATCCGAGAAAGTCTTGTCGATGTATTGCATCAGTCCTTGGTTCCCAATTCTTGGCTCACCAAAGGTTGTTACTTGGGGGTTCCAACCCCGAGACTCCAAGTCAAGAGACGCAAGAGCTGCCACCGCCCCGCCGAGAGAATGTCCTACCAAGGTTACCTGGTAGTCCGGATATTTCTGAACGAGTTCATCGAGATGGGGTAGGATATGAGGTCGAGTATGCCTCCATGAGGTCATGAACCCTGCGTGGACAGTGCAATTGGTACATTCTGCCCTTTGCGGATTTATTGCTCGTTTCCGCAAGCTTCTGGCATGCTTGTCCTCAGCCTCGTCCTCGTCACCTGGATAAGGCATATACTCCTGTGGAACCGTTGACAAGTCGATGATGGTATTCGCTACTGAATAAGTTCCGCGGAACGCCACAATAATCCTTGGAGGCGATGGAGGATGAGAAAGGACAATGTATCCACAGCTGTCCGACATGAAGGGGCCTGTATTCCATGTCTACTCATAACCATAAACCTAGGCGCAGGCCGAAGAGCAGAAGTCAGACGCTTACCGTTATCAACTCGAAGCTGGGGAAATCCTGGCATCGGCTCGCGCATAGGAAAGGTTTTTGAATGCCTATTCCTGTCACTCCGACACAATAAGAAATATCGACTATGCGTGATAGCTCTTCCAGGTCATTGAAAAGCTCTATGGATATGTTGGGCTTCGAGATTGCTGGTAGGTCCTCCACCAAGGGTGATTGCGAGGAAGGGACCCCAAATGCTGGAGAGAGGGATGAGAAATAGCATAACAATAGGACGAGCCTCAGAAAGCGAGACATCATGTTCGAGTTGGTCGAGGAAGGATAGTGAATGAAGAGGCGTCGCGAAAACGTCACGGTTCAGGTTGCCAAGACCTGGGGTAGCGCCTGGATCTTGCCCGAAAGAGGTATAGTTAGTGCTCATGTGGACTTCGTCCTACCTTACCGAACTTACTTTACCTAATAAAACTATCCGGCGTGCTCGTCCTACATGGAGGTATCAAAGGTTTATGAACGCATTACGGGTTAATAGGTATGAGTGCAATAGAGTCTTATCAAACCAATCCATCACCAAGAACGCCTGCGCCAAATGTCAAGCCTTACAACTCAGGTCTCAACAATTACGACCCGACCGCATGAGCGAACACCTTCGCAGCTAATTCGCTGAGTAATTTAGCCTTGTCGCCTTGGGGTAGCTCCTACAACCTCGTCAGAAAAGCCCACTCCTTGCTCCATCGAGGAACAAGGAAAAGCGCAATCCACTCACCTGGAACACGCTGTAGACGCTCTTCCCTCTTGCATCTCTCACTGCTCCTAACCTGTTCCCCGCCACTGCTCCTGCGATAGCCCCTGGGAAGTTTGCAACGATGAAGCCCATAGCTCCACCACTAAGACCTCCTACCATGCTCCAAAACTTGTTGGTAGGCTTCGCTTCCTTGCCTTCTGCCATCCCTTCCTCTCTCAACATCTCCTCAAAAATACCTCCGAACTGTTCATTGCTGAAGTGTTCTTCTTCTTGTGTATTTTTCGCACCGAAACCAAACGCAGACCAGGGGAAGCCACCAGAGCCACCAGATGGCTTTTCTTGGCGAGGTATGTCTTCAGTGTCAGGATCGCTGTCTTCGCCACCAGTGGGAAAACCGTGGTAAGAGCGGGCTGAGTCGTAGTCGCGGCGACGAGTAGGGTCTGAAAGTGTGTAGTATGCATCATTGATTTGCTGGAATTTCTTGGTGCGGGCCGGGCGTTCAGAGGAGTCAGAGGGGACACGGTCGGGGTGCGATTTCAAGGCTTGTCTTGACAAGACGGTTAGTCCGCAATATTAACAGCATGGATGCGTGGACATACTTCTTGTAGCCATCTCGGATTTGCTGTTGGGTAGCTTGGGGTGGTATGTCGAGGATCACATCTGTACTTGTTAGAACTGCGAGGGGCAATACGTGGTCCGGTCGTACAGTAGTCTGGAGGCGCGTCTGGAACAAGATTAGCAGGCTATTCACGAATCAGGACCATTAGAATGGCACTTACTGGACATCTCTTTGAGAACGGCTGCTCAAGGCGTGATGCCTGTTATTGCACGTCAAAGGCAAGCTGAGAGCTTTGGACAAAAAAGGCTGCCTAGGACGTAGGGGAGGCGCGCGACCAGAGGTGGGGTCCAATTTTGAATGAATACTCGTAGTCTCAACGGATACGTGTACACAATTCAAACGAACATGGAAGCCTAAGTGCACATGCCACATGGAAAGCAACCTGAATGACGTATCGTTAGCGTTATGCCAAGCAAATGGAAAGCTCCGAACTCGAAGGTCTCGCCTCGCCTACGGTACTGTACCTATAGGTACAAGTGTAGGGAACTAAGCCTTACAGCCAGCCCGTATGCAAATTCGGATTGACGAAGCCGAGATGATTTTGAGATCATAGGGTATCTTGGTGTACGAGTGGCTATTTGTTGTTCTTTGCATTCATCAGGGACTCTGATTGTATGCTGGGGAGCGAATTGAACTCTGGGGAAATCCCTAGCTAGTCTTGGCAGGGCGCCTTGGCTTTCAGCGGCCCATCAGCCCCAACCTCTCTCTTGAACTTGGAGCTTCGTAGCTTTTCTGAAGACTTTTGATTCTACCCAGCTCCATCTCACTATCGACCAGCAATGGCATGGTTCTCCAGTCCCGGTCGCTCCTCCTCTCCGCGCCGCTCGTCCGCCTACCCGCAACGTCCTTCCAATGACAGCAAAGGCTACTACTACAGGACCTCCTCTTCACATTCTAGCCGCGCGCGACCCCGTGGAGGCTACGTCAATCGCATCCTTTCCCAAATAAAGCGCTACCTCCGTCACCTGTACGATTACGCGCGCGATCATCCGGTCAAGCTGATAATGCTTTTGCTACCATTGTTGACGGGCGGGGCATTGGCGGGGGTGCTGGCGAAGTTTGGTATCAGGTTACCGGCCGGTTTGGCAAGTATGGTGCCGGGAGGTGCTGGAGGCAAACAAGGATTTGGAGGAAGAAGTGATGTAGGCGGTGGGGCCGGTGTACAGGGTTTGATGAAGATGGCGCAGATGTTTGTGTGAGACCAGGACGGACTGTTGATACTGATAGGCGTGGGAGGTAAGTGTTCCGAGCTTATACCATGACTACATTGCGACGGGCCAATGCTAATTGGCAAGGAAGCGAGAGGCCTGGTTCAGAGAGGCAACCTATTCATTGGATATCCTCCTCGAATTATTATACCGTTGATGACTGACATGAAATGGCGAGTTCCACAGCTGCCTTGACGCAATGAATTAGACTGCAATTGTGAGGGTGGCCTTCCAGGAAAGATGTCCAAACCAATAGCAGTCGGAGTATGCGCAAAAGGCCAACTTGCTCTTTTTCTAGCTTGCAAAGTGCTGTACTGGATAAAACACTGCCCGTTTACGAGTACCGAGGTGGAATCCTTTGACCATGCATAAAGCAAGTTATATCGGCGAACGAGAATGCTAAAGTCCCCCACGGTTTGCAAGCCTGTACATAATCAATTGGCGCAACATTGAACGCTTTCTACCTCTAAGCTTAGGTCACCAGGCCGCAACTAGGAAGGGATTTCTTTGTGGAGGTCGCTTTCATCCACGGTTGTCGACTATGATTTTCGATGGCCGGAGGTGTAATACGTCTCGTCAGTGCGCCTTGCCATTCCTCTTGACACGTTTTCGTGCTGCTCCATTCCTTGAATCTTCCTTTATTTCTGGGTCTCCATCCTCTCCGTCATTAGCAGTCTCCAGATCCTCCAATTCAGATTGCTCATAGTTCGACTGAACACCGGCAATGCGACTCTGAATCTTATGATAAGTCCACACCGGTAAGCGGAACAAAACCGTCCGCCTGAACGTGGGCTTGGGTATCTCCTCTGGATCTAGCAAAAGCTCCACCCTTTCACCGTTGTCATCCTCTTCTTCCACATAAACGTTTCCCACGGAATCCACGATGAGAACTTTCCCATTGCGAGCTTGAACTTTCTTCTTAGCCCCTTGGGGCCCCTGTTCAGGTTCCGACTCAATAGGTGTAGGTGTACTTGTGCCACTCCGCTTAAGCCCCTTGCCTGTTTTCTTGTCTTTCTCCTTTTTGTTTTCTCTCTCCTGCATGCGCTTCTGGCGTCGATTAAGCACCGCCGCACCGTTCTCTTGCGCCAAAGAAGCAGGGGGGCTAGCTGTCATTCCCGTCATTGCACCATCAATGCCAGGAATCCCTCTGACTCCTGAGTCGTCGCCCCAGGCTGATCGTCTCGCATCTCGAATGACCCGTTCGGCGTAATCTCGTTGTCTCTGCCAGCTTACATACATAGCCGCGTAATGGACCAATCCTCCTCCAAATGCAAACAGGCCCACCAGCACTGATCCCAGACCAGGGCGAAAGCGGGCGTAGTAATATCCAGTCCCCCTCCATTTGGGGAAGCCGCTGCTCAGGAAGAAATTGTATCTTTCGCGACCAGGTCCTTTCAGAATCTCGGTGATAACGCCGAGTCGAGCATACCGCTCGCTAGCCTTCTTCACCGCGGTCTGAATTTCGCTTTCCGTGGGAGCTTTGTTAACGTGAACGCCTGGTTCCTTGTTTTTCAGTCCGAGTAGTGGCTTGGAAGTTGCCTTTGCCTTGGAGGCTATGAGCGACTGCTTTGCCTTGTCGGGATGTATAATTCTGGATTTCTTCCTGTAGGCTTTGACGATCTCGTCCTGAGAAGCGCTAGCCTTCACCCCCAAGAAATCTAGAGATTGAAAAGAGTAAGCCAACATGAATACGATTACAATGGTAGGAAGGTGTGAGTAATTACCGTAAAAAGTCACCTCAGGACCCTCGGAAGCCTGGATCTCGTCTCGAAGTCGGAATATTTCGTGGTCATCCTTAGTAAACCCAGCAACCAGCGCCAGCAGACCGCTGCAGAGCAAAACAAAGAGTGACAGTTTCATGTTTAAGGAACGTGATGCATGTGTGCCTGAAGCTATAGCACAAAAGCTCCCAATATGTGTGTACCTGCGTGTACCTCTAGTGGCCCTTTAGCTTGTGTAGTAAAAGTAGGTCGTGGTCCCAATCAAGGAATCGGGCAGGTGGGGAGATCCGAAATGTAAAATGTGCGAATAATTCCGGTACACAGTCAACTTACAAGAGAACTCTTCTCCCCACTCACTTCCCTCTTGATTCTCAAGAAAACTGGGCGGTACGCCTAATGGTTGCCGCGGATGGAAAATATGTGATGAGCAATTGAGCATGGCTGAAGTAGTTCGTGGCTGAAAGGACACAGACCCTCCATCGAAAATAAGCCTAGCAGATAAAATCTGTGGGACAAAGAACACATTTGCTTTCTTTCAACTCCACAATCCTTTATACAACCACCTGTCTGACTATTCGCTACCATTTCCACCGAAAATTGTGAACAATTCCCACTTCTAGTCTCTGTAATCACTAGCTAATCGAATACAAAGAGACCAGAATAACCCTCTTTCCACCCCGTGTTACCCTTGAAAGTCCAAGAAAACGAACCAAAACCAACACCTTCACTCATTCGGCAATGTCGCGAATCAACATCCCCCTCGAGGCTCTGACCTCTCGCCTTAATCTCGGATCCCGCTTTGAAGGGGTGCGGTCGCAGTCGCTGACGTCCCGATTCGCCAACCTCAAGCCCATCTCCGAGTTCCTGGATCTCAAGCGCCTCTCCAAGCCTGCGAATTTCGGGGAGGTTCAGAGCAGAGTCAATTACAACCTGTCATATTTCTCAAGCAACTATTTCGCAGTAGCCCTGATGCTCACAGTCTATAGCTTGCTTACCAATGTAGCATT